CGAATTTCGATTTAGTTTGCGGGCGTTTTTTACAGCCTTACCTGGATGTACCCTTTGTTGAATTCAAAATCATCCCAATGAATGCACAGTACGGCCTGATGTTACGCGTGGTTCCACCCCCCCTCCGTTTCAGAGCAGCCAGGCAAATTGCCGAGAACAACAACAGCGGAAGTCAGATGAGCAGCGCCCGAGAAATGAAAATGTGGCCATATCAAACGTTTATTTGTGGTCCATGAGGCCTTGCAAGTTGGCCACCTCTGATGTAGGCTATCCGGGACGGGCCGCCGTCGCGGAGGCTGGCGTTTCGGCCAACATATTGACACGCCTAGCTATTGAGTGTCACATCAAGGTTATGAGGTGGACACCATCATTCAATCGGGGGCTTCTTTACGACTTACGGGTTTAGTATCCCGATTGGATGACAATGTCGCCCCTCCACTTCCAGTTCGTGAGCTGGAAGTGCCACTGCGCTTAAATCGGAATATATATCATACAAACTCCGGCCTACTCAATCTTATCTTAAGCCTCTCCGGGAAGCGGTCTTTCAAGTACACCACACGATCCAGCCATCTGAGGATTGTACGTGCCGAGAGGTTCAGCTAACTCGCCTTTCTACTAAGGTGTCGCGTCTCCCACGTCCTACCCAAATTTCCCCTCCCACAGCACATGATGCCTCCGGCCGCCCAACGTATTCTACGACGCACGAGAGAACGACTACAGCCATCCCTCAGCATTCGCTAAGTAGGTTCCCAAAAAGCATCGCGAACATTGAGTATCTTTTAATGACGAAAGGTGAGTTAGGCTCCTGGATATCGAAAAACTATTTAGAAAAGAAAGAAAAATGTCTGCTGAACAATTACAATAGTACTGAGTAAGCGCTACTACAGAATTCACAATTAACATCCCAAAGAGAATAAATACAACAATAATCAAAACTTATTTCAAAGTTGAAAGTGATTGGATATAGGATTTGGTTATTTTTTGTTTCATCACTCTCCTCGTCGTTCTAATATCCAAATTGAGAGTTGCAGCTTCCATTTCTCACTTAAATTTCGAAGTTATTTCCATGATCGGATCACATTCGAATGCCCTTTTCACCAGAGCTTGTTGAGGTTTTAGAACGTCATTATCAGCTTTGATACTGAAGTTGCTCCAGGGCGCAGGTTCGCTTCCATTAGCTTATTATTACGCTCGAAGTTTCCTGCGCTGATGATTTCCCAAAGCTCCCTTTTAGCGCAGACGTTATAATGAGAGTTGCACAAATTCTGAACGGCTTTTCTGTTCAGTGGCCAAAACCCTTACCTCCGATTCGACTCACCTGAATTGAATTATTTTACAATTGTGTTAATCTATTAATGTGAAATGACTTTCCAATTTTGAAATTTTTGCAGAACGTGATACTTTAGAGCTCCGTTATCTGCCGCGTTCGTTTTCCGATGAGGCTTATAAAGGAAATGAAATGTGCTCGCTTTCAGGGAAAAAGAAAAAAAATGCTACGACCAAATGACACAGTCGCGAATGTTCAAGCTGTGAATAGCGAACGCCGAGGGATTACTGTACTGTAGGGGGCGCATCCATCAACTAGATCTCAACTTGCGAGAATCGAGTGTGGACTACACAATCTGCACCTGAACCTCAGCTACACTTTGTCTTCTGAAGATTGGGACACGCTTGACAGTTTGTCCTTCAACAGTGCTGAGATGTAGTCAGAAACTAACCAATACGCAAATTCACGAATCTTCAGCGGGTGAACGTGTCCAGTGAAGCGCGTGTCCTGCGCAATACTGTTGTAAAACGTATTGAAGAAACCATGGACACGGCCACTACGAATGTTGTATCCCGAGGGCTGAAATTCACCTGCGCCCCCAAACGAGTACACACTGATGTCATCGCTGCGGCGGAAAACATGGACAGTCTGCCCTACGATATAGCCGAAGACATAACACGTGGCACAAGCACCATTTTAGCCCGGACCATCCCCCACGTTTCAACATCTCCCGTGAAGTGAGACTGGCCCTAAGACAGCTAACACAGTGCGATGACAGTCATCCTTTCCGCTGATAAAGAAAACGCTTCGGTGGTTAGAGAGAGCTCCGAATATCCCTTCACGTGAGCCAAAAAGTGATGGGCATCGTCGGTGAAGTTTCATCCATAAACGAGGAAGACAAACGATGCCTTAAGCTCGCCAACAACAACCGCGCACCCCGCATCTACCTACAAATCATAAACCTGACGTGCCTCTCCACCCTAAAGTGAGCGCCATCAACTCACCTTCTCAGCACACAGCCCGCTTCCTTGCTAACAAACTGAAACCTCCCACCAACGACCTGCCTTTCACCGACCTTGATTACAAACACTTCATTGAACTCATTCGCTGCATTAGGGCCAGTCCTGGAGATATCCTTGAGGATAACCTCAGGAAACACCAGCTGAGGTGTGCTTGTCTACCACCTTCCAATACAAATAAGAGCTTACGCTCAGATTGAAAGGTACTGCCATGGGCTCACTGCTCCTTCCTGTGGTGCTGAATCTGTTCACGAGGGTCTTTGAAGAACAAGCCCTAGAAAACACGCCTCTAAAACCGACGCTTTGGCTTCGCTAAGTCAATGATATTTTTGTCATTTGGCCCAAAGGCTCTGATTGTAAGTCTCTGCAAACCTTTTTTTCACACCTTAACACCATCCACCCTCGCATCCATTTTGTTATGGAAACAGAACTCGGCCAGCTCCCCTCTCGCAGCATCATTCAGCTACGAAACGGATTATACTCTCCACCCTTACCCACATCTGCGACAGCAATACCCTCGGAAAGGAAAGAGACGTACTTAGACTTTCCTAGCCAACAGCTGCGGTGGATCCGCCATACGTGTCTCGAAGAGCCTCGACACAGCGTCGCATATATTCCTATTTAAACATTGCGGCCCTTCAGGGTCACTAGCTAGACGGAGAGGGTGACACTGTCCTCCAATTGGGATCTTCGTTACAACCTACTCGTAATTCCTGGTATTGGAGCTCCAATTGGATGACAATGACCCTCCATCTCGTGACCTTGAAGTACCGCTACGCAGTACCTACCCTAACAAACGGACCATGGACCGGGCGTAATCTTTCCGTTCTTTTCCTATTCTTATTCTAACCTTACATGTACCAACACTATACATATGTCGGGAGCTTTTTGTGCGGGAACCCTAACAGACGTAACAGGATAAACTAGTTGCGGCTTGCATTCAAAAAACGCATTGAATATTCATGAATATTCAATGCGTTTTTTCAACAAATCCTTCATATTTTTAAAGTTAAAGTGCTATTCGTCAAGTCTTGCTGAAGCTCTCTTTCTTCCGAGACCTCATTTACAAAGATCGGTTGCGTGAGAGAGCCCCAATACGTCACTTATACTACCGAAATAATATAGGAGAATATGTTTAAAACGTCAAATTGACGTATTGAATGACTTCTTTAGTAGTAATTATAGAAAATTAGTAAAAGATATATTTTTATTAAATATCATTGGATTGCGGGGAGGAGGGGGCTGACCCCATGAAGCTCCAGGGGTTTTGGTGCAGGCCACAAGATGATGTTTGACAGTTCCTAAAACATTAAACATCGCCGAATACTGCAACGCGACGCGAAATGTATTTTTCAGCCAGCCTTCTGGGCTGGAGCTTCGGCTGTTAAGCGTCGGTTGCCTCAAAGCGTCATTGCAGAGGGATTAGTTTGAGATTAGGATAGTTTTTACAAGTGATTTACATTTTCCAGCATCTAAATGAATATACAGAGAATTTATAAAAATCATATCGAAAAGCAGATGGAAAGATGTACCAGAGCGAATTAAATCAAAGATATGTAAACTGTCAGGCCATTAATACCAAATTTCAAGAAGTCCACGTTGATTACTTTCATCATGCTTTAATAAGCTGGCAATAGGCAAAATTTTAATCAGAGAATTATGGTAGTAAACAATATTTCTTAAAAAGGAACTTTTAATTGCCTAGCTAAATGAATACATTAATACCTTTCAATCATTCTTTACTTGGCAAAATAATAATAATAATTATTATTATTACAACAACAACAACAACAACAACAATGGCTCATGCACAAGTTAGCCAACATTTGTAAAATAAATGTTAATTACTTCCACATAGTGATGTGATTAGCTAAGTATTTAGAAATTAGTGTAAAATAGAGACAACTTTTAAACAATTATTTTCTCACAAATCTGCTCCATTTTTTTACCCTGATGGAGAAATTATTTGCTTAAAAATGTAACAGGTTTAATTTTTAAATAATTCTCTGAATTTTTGAAAATGACAAAAATTAGAAATAATATGAGAAAGTATGTCCTGTTGCTGCTTAAAGTTTTGCAATGTGATGTGAAATATTAGTACATAGTTTACATAGATTACGTTCTTTATGTGTTCCACATGTAAAAAGTCATGTAATCCACTTGTAGATTAGTACGCATAGAAAACATACATAGCTGAAATATCAGCACAACTCTGATCTGTCATATTTTAATGCAAGGCTACTCAATTGCAAGATGTTGGACCAAACTGCTTGTGGGTGTCTGCTGCATCTGCTGGATGCTGCTCTGCATTCACTCGACTGGACTCCCCTCCTTTTCCCTCCATCAGCAACGTGAGCAGCCCCCTCCTCCCCCCGGATTTCATTTAGCCCTCTTGGCCCAGGGTATGACTTGACAAGCAGCGAGCCACACTGTTTGCTCCCAATCAAGTGGTCGTCAGGAAATGCTACATGGGCCCTCAGAGGATGGCTGTTTGAAGTTAGGATTTAGTATGAAGCTATTTTCACTTTTTAAAACAATGAACTACAAAGTGCAGAACGTTTGCACAGGTCTAGCTAGAGTTACGTAACTGTTACTGATATTATGAGAAAGAATGTACTGTTATAGCACCACTAGTTTCCTTTACAGTGATACACCTAAATGGTCATGTACCTTCCCCTCAGAAAGTAGGTCATTATTGATTTTGTTAGCCTTACCTTCACAATTACATCTTCAATAGAACCATTTGATCCCGCATCAGAACTTATGAGATGATTGTGGGTTTCCAAATCTTGCATTTGTTGATCTTTTTCTAAATAGATGGATAGTAAGTTCAACATTGAACTTACGGCTCCTTCCTCTTCATACAACTTCAAAACAAAATATAAAAGAGAGAAAAATGTTTGTGTTACTCAACATAAAATAAGTAGAAGAAACAAGAAAATAAGTAGCTATTATCTAAATACATTCAGCAAAAACGAAAAATATGCACCTTCATGCGAGCCATTTCACTCTTGGCCATTAAATTGCCCAAAGCATATCCCAATCTCACTACTATATCTTGACGACCAGGGTACTTTTGAAGCAGTTTGACAAAGAGTTGAAAGCAGTTATCATAACTTATGATGGCATTACAGCAGTCATCATGGGTAGAAATTATACTAAAACATGCAATGTCCAAGATGAAAGTAATTCTTTCAATATAAAAATTAGAAAAATGATATTTTAATGTATATAGAACATACCTTAAAGTTCGTGATACATTGCTAATAACATCAAGATCAGAAGAAAAAAGTTCCATGGCACGGCATAACTCAGATACTGCTCCAGTGGACACAAATTGTGGAAATATATCCTCTTCTCCAGCCACATTGCGTAATGCACCTGTCAGTTGAAATAGAGCATGACTAGTTTGCTCTGGAATACGTGATCCTTCTGAACGCTATGAATGGAAAAAAGAATAAAATAAATTCCACAGAAGAATATTTTCCATGAACACAAGAATTAGAAATACATTTGAAATTTACTTACTGCTACATTCACTAGTTTCATGTGTAGTACCATCAATTCCAAAATACCAAAACTCAGCACAGCAGAGAGAACTAAATTATTCATGGTAAGAAATTTTAGAGCACCGTATCCATAAACACAAGCCTCGGCATCTTCTAGGGGACTGGCAGATCCTAAAGCTTCCACAAATAATTCTGGAGAAAAATATTCCAATTAAGAAAATTTAAATAAAGGTAATTTAAAATTAAGGAACCTATAATAAAAGTATTTCTATTTCTTACCAAGAATGTTGTCTTCTAGAAATAGCCTATCATTTTTGTCACAGCGAGACACTTTGAATACAAGTTTACACACGCCTGAGAGGTTGCTTCCATTAACTCGAAACTAAAACAAAATTAGCAAATAAAGTAACTGAAAATACAACTGATTCATAATCAGAAAGATTTTATTTAAAAACATACTCCCAAAATAATGCGGGCAATCTGGAGTAGAAGGGTTTCATTTGAACGCTCCACAAATTTATATATTACTTTAAGAACTTGTGATTTTAATTTTGTGTTTTTTATGTTTAAGCCAAATGCACTTTCTGAATCAAGAATTCTATACAATTTTGAGAGAGCCAAAATAACTTCAATATCGTTGCCATCTGGAAAGACAAATGCATTGAGTTGCAAAACATTCTGATACTACCAGTATTATTTCTAACCAAAGTAATATTCAATGTTAATATTGATTTAGTTAAGTTTTAAACAATTGTACCTTGTTGTGACAAATTTGATAACATTTCAAGAGCATTTCGAACATTATCACTAATAGATTGCTCAGCCGATTTCTTAGCACTTTTTGCCCTTCCACTTTTTGGCCGGGAAGAAATTTCAGATGGTCTATCTGATGTTTCTTTTGGTGGGAATCTGTCCAACATTGCTTGTTGAATAGCACCTAAGATGGGATCTTCAGAAACTGTTGTTTGTTCACTTGGTGATTTTTTTATCTCAATGGCTGATTTTGAGATTTTGAGATTTTCAGATTTTTTAAATGGTTTTTGTGGAATGAATTCCTCAATGTTCTTGGCATCTGTCTGTCTAACTCCACTAATTTTCATTCCCTTTGTTTCTTCAAAGTCAGAGAGAAGAGCCTCTTTGGCACTTGCTAAGTACTGGGTGTCAGGAGAGACAGGAAGAGATGATGTGTCATTCATTCCTAAGTTCTCAAACATTCTACTACTTTCAATAATTTCAGAAGTTTGCTTCTTGTTGTTATCAGAAATCTGTTTTTCAGTTACTGCTTTTGGAGTTACAAAACCATTTTCATGATTGATACTGGTTCTTATTTCTTCCGTCTTTAATTCATTCTTAAAATTATTATTTTCTTTGCTTGGTTTTGTTAGCTTGAAAATTTCAGGCTGGATTTCTAAGAGATCTTCATCCATTTTGTCTTCCTTATTTTCCTTCTTTATATTATCTTTTGTTTTTGTTGGAACAGCATTCTTTTCACTTCGCAAATCATCTAAGGGAGAATTTTCAATTATAGATTTGAAAGATGAAACTTCTGCATGTTCCTCAGTATTGCTACTAATAATATCATGAATTTCTAATGTTTCTTTTCGTTTTGAAGATTTATAAGGTTCTTGAGAATTAGCAAACAGTTTGTGAACTTCATCAACAGAATCATTTTGTTTGAGACCCCATGCATTATCTTTACACTTCTTTGCAATTTCATCATTGCTGAATTTTTTATCCTTTTTACGGGAATTTTCAATAATTTCATTTTCAAATGCATGTGATCTTTTGTTTGATGTGGGAGAATGCAAGTCATTTGTTTCTAAAGGTCCAAATATATCTTTTTCCATATCTACATCTCTTGATCGAGTACGTTGAACAGGACTGCTATAAGCTTTCCGAATTGGTGGAGGTTCTCTGGTACTATTTTCACTATTGCTGGAACCTGGGCTTTCAAGATCCTCCCCTTCCACCTCTTCTGGCACTGAAAGCATAAGTGTACAGGTGAATGTTGAATTACATATATAATACTTGTTCACTAAGTTTCAAGAATGTGGGTTTACTTAGACCATTTGAATATTCATGAGAAGAAATCAATGTTTACTACTATGTTAAAATTAGAAACATTGTCTTAACGCTAAAAGAAAGTTGTAATTAACTATTTTAAACAAATGAAATTTTGAATGTTCTCAAGGAAAGATCTTAAATGTAAGGAAGGAAACAAGAATATTATCTTAAATTTTTATACATATAAATGAAAATTGATGTTTAAATAAAATGGGTTGGTTTTTAAAAGACTATTCATGAGATGTCACTCATTTAAATTCGCATACTACACAAAATTCTTTGAATTTTTCAACATTGTTTACTCTCTTAATACTCCCTTCTCATTTTTTCTCTCTAAAAGAATTAATAAGTGTTACATACGATTATCAAGTGATGCAGTTGCTCTGAATTGGCTTCTTCGAGTTATTAGGTGAGATCCACTACCAATAGCTGGTAATCGCACTTTTGGTGGGCTTCCATCAAAACATGGAAGAAATTTAGAAGCCTGTACATTGGATGATCCAGCACGCTCTCTTCTTTTGAAGTTTGATGGCAAACTGTCTGATAAGTCAAGTGCATCTCCAGAAACTAATGCACGCCAAGTAGATTGGTCAGCAGAAGATCCACTGCTACTCAGTGAAGAGTTTAGGGATGAATTCAGAGATGAAGATGGAGAAAATGGTAATGGATTGAGTCTTCTCAAATTAGGAGGAGTAGTGCTTCCTAAGTCAGGTTCTTGAAATTGCAAGTAACCCAGACTGGAATAGATATCATAAGTTTGATGGAGTTCTGTCAGTAGTTGTAAGTATTAATGCTTATGAATAAAAATTTTCATTTGATTACGAATGTAAAATTATACTTGACAAGATTCAAAGAAATTATTTATTAATCCCTAACAATCTTACCTGAAGGAGGAAGGCGGTCTACGACTATAATTGTTTGAGGATCCAAACAAAGTGCGCTGTCTTTCACGAGGAGTAAAAGGGCGTTTGGTGTCAAGAGGACGTACACTGGGAGAAAAACCCATTCCCACTTCACTTGGAGATACACTTATGCCCATAGTTCCCCCTTTTCTGATAGATGCTCGAGCCTCATTAATAATTTCAGCACTAGTTTTTTTGACTGATGGTGGTGGTACATAAAAGGGAACTGTCACTTTATTTGAGCCAGGTGAACCACCTATGCGCCGCGAATGTGTCTCCATGGTAAAACTGTTGAAGTAAATTTGGTACATTAATAATCAATGTTGTAACTTTGTAAATATAATTAATTATGAACAGATAAATCCAATTATTAAAAAACTACCTACATAAAGATTATTTTTACTTACCTCTCTTGCATTGCAGCTTATTACAATGACTCTAATGCAGACAGTTTCAAAATATAATCATCTTTTCTAATACAGGAATTTCAGATTTCGTTGTTAACTGTTGATACAATTTCATTCTTAGAAAGAAACATTTATTGCATTTCACAGCAGAAAGTATAACATTTACAAACAACTATACTACTCCATTAATAATTTCTTCACTAAAGAAATCTATCAGTAATGTAGTTATCTAAGTTTCACATTAACTCAGAAACCTAAAATGCAACTAGTATATACTATACTAGTTCTATGTTCTTCCACAATCAAAATACAAGGCATAACAACAAACAATATAGATTCTTGCCTTTAAAACTCAATGGTATGCCTAGGGTGCATGCTTGTTTGCTGAGGTCATGAGAAAGATATTGATTTTTTCCCCACCCTTTCCCAAACTCCAGAGCAACCAGCTAAACATAGACTCACCTGCCCTATCACCACATGGAAATTTCCCCCAGGGAAGGGGTACCAATCAATACCTGTGGTCAAGACATGCTCACTGCAATTAGGAGGGGAAGCAACTCAAAGGGAAAGCTCTTTTGATGGACACAGCAAGTACAGATTTCTGGCAACAAACTGCATCATTTTTGCAGAAATAGGATATTGGCTACAGGCTCATCTAGTTCAAGGAAAAATCCAAAATCATTTCAAAGTAGTTTATTTTAAAAAATATACTACACAAGTTGAAAACTTGCAGTACACTCTACAGATTTATTAGTACAAAAACATTTGTTTTGCTTCAATAAAAGTTAATTCTAAAGTAAAAAATACAATGAAAACAAACATAATCACTCAGGTTAATGAACACTCACCCCTTTTTACAATATATAAATCCAAATTTAGGAACTTTGTGATTGATCACTTCAACAAAACCTTTTCTACTTACAAATTCACATAAGTAACAGATCTATCAGATCTTTACCAACAAATCTTACAATTATTTATAGAATTACAAGTACAGAAAACAATGATTGATATTGGAACTTCAAAACATTACAAAATACATGATAGTCAATTGTTACAATTAAATGGAAAATCAAAGTCATCTGTTTTACATGGATTCATCTTTCAATAATAAAACTTTAAACAAAAGACAGAATGGTACATAAAGAGATCAACACATTGTTATGCTTCATTATATACACATGATTAGTGAAATGATATAACATTTATGACACAAAAAATATTGTCCAAAGTACAAAAATTACTGAATATCTGTATTTGTTACTAGTTCAAACCATTGTCGTAAAGCATCACTTAAAACAGCAGGAAGACAATTGATGTCTCGCAGAATTAAATAAAATGGGAACGGGAAAGTATCAAGATAAGACTTCAAGCCTAAAAGCTTTCCTCCTTGAAAAACTGTTGCCTTAATGTCTAGAATGGAATGCTGAAAATAAATGCATAAACTGTTAATTTGAATTTACCATTACCAAAGGGAAATTCTTATAAAACTAGAATATGTACAAATTAAGAAATAATTTTAAATAAAATAAGTAATAATGGAAACATGCAGAAAAAAACAATTAAACAGATAAAGCTGATATGTATGATGGGAATTTAAATTATAATTCTTATGAATTTGAGTAATAGGGGGATTAGAAGGCATTTTTAAGAAATTTCTTGCCCATTAAAGGAAATAAAAATTAATATACACAATCTTTTTTTGATGATACTCATAAAACCAAGAACGTTTTGCAATTGTATAAAAGTTGCAAGAGCCTGAAAGTAGAATGAACTCAAGTAAGGTGGAACACACATTATTTCTTTCAAGAAGGTCTACACTGTTGTGTACAAGAATACTACCAATGTGGATATCTTACACAATGCATATCTCATTATTTCCCAATATCATTGCATAGCTCTCAATTTTCACAGCACAAATATATGATAACCAACACTTTCAGTTGTGTTTTGCAATTTTTTCTGTCTTGTGTTCATTCTCCCTGCAGCACTCTCAGATTGAGTACTTAAGATTAATAACAGATGAAATGTTTCTTACCTTGGAATCTGGATTATCAAGTACTACAAATACCATGAATATGCGATTTTGACGAGCATGTCGAATTGCAAGTCGAACCTTAGCATCACCTTCACTAAATACACCTCGACCATCAGATACAATCATGAGAAGTTGTGCACATTCTGATCCTGAAGAAACACGCTGACGATTCTCTTGCAGAAGCATTGTACAAAAATCTATCAACTGGGCAAATTTTGTGTGGTTTTGTGAAAATGAAAACTGCTGCAAAAGTCTGAAAATTAAATATCAAAAGTAAAATTATAAACACTAAACTCTACTGAAACAAGTAAAATATGTTATAATGTCTGAGTTTTGTATTCCAAATTCAAAATATATTTTGAATATAATATAATGAAAATATAATATTTTCTTTTGGCTGTACCAGCTGTTCATGATTGGGTAGCGTGGATATCATGGTGCAAATAATCATATTACATATATATTCGAATGAAAATTCAAAGAAAATTGATGGGGATCGAATCACAGCTAATTAATAATTGTAAATCTTTTTAGTTTAATTACACTAACTGACTTAATTTGTGGTTCAAATTCCAAGCTTTTAGATTCTTACAGTAGTTCAAAAATATGTTGAGTCCAATGTAATAATTTGTAAGTTGTTTTAGAATTTATTTACATACACACACACATATATAATGGTCTATTTGTAAGGTGCTTACCTTCCTCCACTGTGTTCAGTAAAAGTATCACCTAACTGATGCAATATTTGAGGTTTATCACCAAAGCTAACAACTGCCAGTTCACCAGCCTCCAATAATGAAAGAGCTTGACTCACTAGGGCAAGTGATTCAAAGGCCAACTGAAAAGGTAAACAGAAAATGAGTAAGATTCATAATTAAAATCCATTACTTTTAGCCTTTAGCCAAGAAAACATTGTGAATATTTTCATTGAAATTGTCATATGATAAATTAACTTAAAAAAAAAAAAAAAAATCGAACAAATTTTAAGAGACAAACCTACCCAAAAACCTCCATTTAATGTTCTCAACAACTGTGTCTTTGCACTCAACAACCCCTCCTTATAATGAATAAAAAACAAAATTCTTTGCAACTGAAAATTAGTTGTGAAAACATTTCAAATTTGGCACAGAAAATTAATATCAAAATTGTATATTTACCTCTTTGGTGTGATTATCATCCATACTTGAGGAATCATCAATTGCTAGAACAATCTGGTATTCTCGTTTAGAAGGCTTTGTACGCCTTAACCAGATTTTGTCCTTTCTGAACTGGCTTGCAATGTAAGGTATAACCTGAAATAAAATATTATAGTTAATACACATTTGTGTTTAGATAAAATTATGGTTGTTTCCATTAGAATTAAAACAGGTTAAAGATTATTTTTTAATCTAGTAGTTCTGTGTAAGTGACAAATTGAAATATAATGTAACCACGTGGAGCAAACTAACAATAACATCCATTACAAATGTTACAAAATGTCTTATGTCACCTACCTTGCGCATGTTAATACGACGTCCTGTGCGATAGTCACCTCTCAGTCTTGCAGCTTGTGTAGGTTCTAGAACCAGTCGCAATTGCTCACTTAACTCACGAGACAATCCAGCTGTCAACGATACAAACCCTTGCCAAGCTTGTGCCGCTTCAGCATCTGCTGGAGGCTGAAAAGGCGAAAGAGATTTATCTACTTTTCAGTATCTTTAACCAACTAAGAAATGACCCAAAGATGTTTCCATAAGTAGAATATAAGTTGTGACCAAAGTGGGTGATTTGACGGAAAATAAAAACCTTCCTTTTGTAAGGTAATTGTCTTGGATGGAAGAGGAGGAGAAGGAGGAGGAGAAGCGAGAGAAAATAAAACTTACACCCATATTTGGTTGCCCATATACGGGGCATAGTAATAAATACAATAGGTATCATGGGCAGGAAAAGAAACAAATTATTCTGGGGAATATCAATAAAAAAAGGAACTATTTACCACTTACTACAATCTGATGTGGTCAGATTTGAAGTGGCGTATTCCAAAACACAAATTCAGAAAATCCTTTTTTTTTTTTTTTCAGAAGAGTTTTTTAAAAATATTTTATATTGGATAAATGACCAAGCATGAATTGGAGAACATCAGTTTTTTAGCTTCTTAACTTTGCAAATACATACTTTTCGGAAAGTATTTCTACCTGATTAGATGCGTTAATGACTTATAATCAATAATGACAACAAAATAAACAACTTTAAAAAAATGACGTGGTATGTTTTGAAATCCACCTCTTTATTTATTATACAGATGCCCTTCAATATTAACATACATACATAAATAAATGTAACAATTGAAAATTAAATCTGCCTGGTAAAATTACCTGAGTCCAGGACAACAATTGGTTTTCCAATGTTTGTCGTATTTCCTGCAAATCAATCTCTCTTAATTGAGGTGGCCCATCTGCTTCAAAATTATACTGAGTATGGAATGTGGTCTCAGCACCTCTACTTGGTCCTTCAGTTGGCACAACATCTCCTTCAACATCCACTGCCATTTCTACATTGTCTTCTTGTTCATCTGATTGTGTTTTATTATTCTTATTTTTATCTTTCTTCCCACTAGGTAATTGTTCAGGGTGTTGTTTCTTAATATCTTCATCAACCATGACATCATCTGAAAAACAAACCACATTAGCAAATCCAATAATGTTGCTGAATTTTGACATTCATCATGTTTCTAACATTTTTCTTGCTTTGTCAGCAAATTAGAATTGTCAGTCAACAAAGTATCGTTCTAGTGTACATGTTCAATTCTTAAACTGTATTTGAAATGAACAGCACATTGAATTTTTTGATTTGTTTTCACCCTTAGTCCACAAACTCATACAATTTAAAATGGCTCTTCTTACCGTCCTGAAGGCCCAAGTCATCTTCAGGTGAGGGTTCTTCTGCGGATTCCTCTTCCTTATTGGGAACAGGCTGTTTCTCTGCTTGGTCCTACAAAACAACACAATAAGAATCTAAGTGTTATAACTCTAAAATATGTATTATTGCTTTTACTATAAATGTAATGTTATCTTCTCTAAAGACCGATTAAGCTGAAAATATCTTAACCCATTAGTGCCCAAATTAATTTTGTGCACACAGTGATTGCATTTGTGAGTAATTGTTGGAACATATTTTTGCAACTTTTTGTTGCTATTCAATTGTTTGATGAAGATTTGAATTGATTCAAGGCATGAGTACAACCTGGCCAGGAGTACTTTAGCGATTATGGCTAAATCAATGTCTGGCATTCAGGAATGAAACAACTTTCTTATATATATTTCGTTCTGGATGTCTATGCCTATTGAAGAAATGAAATTCACAAATTATTGGACAGAAATTCAAACAATGCCGCTGCGCAGTTGCCAGAATTCTCATTACCAGATGGTAACGCTGGGCACTAACAGGTTAACAAGAGAAAGGCCAATGATAAAGAAAATTAAAGTACTTTAAAAGGAATGTATTATTTACTTGGGTAGCTGCATCAAGAGTTTGGGTATCATAAGATTCTTTTGAGTCCTTGATATGTTGGTACATTTCTCCTTTCCTTCCTTCTTCAGCTCCCTGTTCCTCATTCTTTTCTTCTTCTCCTTCTTTTGTTGCATCATCATCTTCATTTTCTGGTTTGATATCAATTGTTTTTAGACGTTTTTTATTTGGCTCAGATACATCACCTAAAAGAAAAAAAATCAAAAAACATTCTACTTAATTTTATGCAATATCAGGTAAAATATTACTTTCTTACACACTATATACAGAACAGATACAGTATTGTAATACAGTAACAAAAAATGGTGACTTTTTTAACAGAAAAACTAGTTTTTGGGTGCCTTTTACTGAATAAATTGTAAACACGATTTTCATCAAAATTGATTTCCTCATTGATCTCAATGTCGCAGCTCTTTGAATTTCAAACGGATATTTTGATTCTGGGAGTACTTTACACGAAGTCACCATGACATTTTCAAAATTTTCTCATTGAACTTCTTTACAGATTGTACTAAGTACCTTTGTAAAACAGCACACTTGTATATTCTCTAAATTTTGCAGTAGCAAAATTTTGCAATTTTTTTCTACAATAGATGTAATAGTACACTTAGATAATGAATATAGCTAAACGAGAATTCAGCATTTCAATGTTTAGATATTCCAATATATTACTCTAATGTGGGAAGATGATGTTTGTTGCTTCCATTGACATTATGATTTTGGTTTCTGTAAAACTCAATGAAATAGTACTTACCTAATGTTCGGGTACTATCACTCTCTCCAGGGCGTTGACGCTTATCCTTTCTCTCCTCTACCTCTGGAGGGGTAGCATTGCTTGGCAATTTGTCTTTGGGAGCTGACATATGACCTCTGTGACCTGATTTCTGTTCTTCTGCCTGAGCTTGTCCCACTCCTTGTTGTTCATCTCCTCCTTCTTCCCCAAGTTCTTCGGAATCTTGTTTACCGTCATCTTTCTGTTCGTTCTTGTTCTCAGCCACCTACAATACATTCCCCCCCGCCAAGTTTATTACATTAATTCTACAAAATTCACACAAACAGGAAACTTTTACATTAATGAAAGGTTGTAATAAAGAGGAACTAGGAACTAACCATATCCTTTGATTCTTGACAGGACTCTGCCTCCATATCAGCAGCTTGTGCAGGAGATTCAGATGGCATGTCATCAGAAGGAAGCGCCTTTTCCTCCTTTTTCTTTTCTTCTTCTTCCGACTTTTCTTCCTTTTCATTATCTTCCTTCCCTTCATTGCCTTCTCCACTTTCATCTTCATCATTGTTTTCTGAATCCTGAATATCATTTTTTTCTTGACCATCATTTCCTGTTTCTTCTTCATCGTCATCACTTGAATCTTCTTTTGGATCTTCTTTAGTCTCTTCATCGGGTCCAACAGGTTCTTCATCCTGTGTTTCTTGATCTTCAGGAATCTGACGATCTAAATAAAATAAATAAAGTAAATTAAAAACTTTCATTAAAAGTTAAAATTCAAAAAGGAAGAATTATTTTTATGATTTAACCTTTCATTGCATCAATATCAAAAGGATTTTCTCCATCTTCTCCTTCCTCTTTCCCATCTTCTTCATCTAACTGCAAATCGTCTGGTAGATCCAAAGGCTCAGGTTCAGGTAATTCTGGTTGTTTCCCTGTAAAAAAATTCCATTTACATTCAAACAAATGCATTCCAGAAAAAGCCACAACAAATCATTTCCATCCAAATCCATTAACATTCAATATCAAATTTGTTAAATACCATGATATGGATCCACTTGATCTTCAGCTACTTCTGGCTCATCAAATTCATTAATTTCTTTTTGTTTTTCTTTTTTATCACCTCCCTCATCACTGTTATCTTCATCGCTATCATTTCCTTCTCTCTTATCGTCCTTGGCTGACAATTCAGGATTTCCAGTTGTTTCTCCTTGTCCGTGCTGATCTTCTTTTTCCTCTCCTTCTGCCTCATCTTCATTTTCAGAATCACTACCCCAAACTTCCTGATCGAGTTTGTCTGCCTCTTCTCCTATTTCTCCCATCTCTTTGTCAGCTTCCTCTTCCTCTTCCGAGTCATCTGACCCATCTTTCTCTTCATCTTTTTCTAAGTCTTGAATTTTTCCACCAAAATCTTGTGAAGAATCAATACCTTTTTCCTCTTCCTGCAACAAACAGAACATATTAAAAGAAGAAGAAGAAAAAATTAATCACATTCGCACCTGCTTTATTTTGTTTGTTCTTTACTTTATTCTACATAAAAGTTTACAAATAAAATATTATTTCACAATAAAACAGGTACTCTCATGATTACTGAACTAAAGAAGATTGAAGAGAAACTATTAATAAACACTTTTCCTCAATTTAACTCACCTTGCAATCCTTCTGTTCATCCTCCTTTTCTTCTCCAGGTTTTCTGGCATCTTCAAGTTGATCTTCAGATTGAATCTTATCAGACACATCTTTCTCGCCTTCACCTTCTCCAAGCCCCAGTCCCCCTTTTGGATCTCCTGCTTCCTCTCCTTCTTGAGGCATCAATTCCGGAGGTATACAAAATCCCTGCAAAGGAAAGGAGTTCACAAAAATGTAATTTGCACTGATAAAATTATTGGAAATCATTAATTTTGTTTCAAAAATTGTATTGTAAAAGACTAACTAAAAAATTCAAGGCAGCTTCAGTAACACCAGTGAACATCACCATTAAAAACTCAGTTATGTGTGTTAACAAGGAAACCTTATGATGCAATTTACCTTTTGAGCCAAATCTATAGAAATTGACAAGATCACAGACATCATTTTACAGGTGACTCTGTATGAAGCTGCTTGCTGTGTTACAAAGAACTGATGCAGGAGAGAGAGCTGATCGATACAAGGAATGCAAGACACAAGAGCCCTGAAAAATATTTTCTTACAATAACAAAAATTTTGCATACACATAATTCACTATTTTATTATTAATTATGCTAATATCATTGTACTAGGTAATGACAAAATGCAGAGTAACTACTGCTAATTATTTGATTACTTGAAATAAACTATGTCTAACCGAGTAAGAAAGTAAAAATTACATGACTAAGCAAAACAAAGTAAAAGTCCTTCAACTCGTCAATAACTTCGTAACCTCATCCAGAAAAAGATGAATAGAATTTCTGCATCTTAATTTATTTATCCTAATGGTTATAATTGTTCAAAATAAAGATAATTCTGTATAAAACTAGATTTTCTGTATAATATAATTTAAATTTTTTAGAATGTAATTTCTAAAGCAGTTGATTTAAAAACAAAAAAATTACAAGTAGAAAATTTAGTTTTCAATACTATGTAATTTTTTGGGGAATTTTCAGTGGTGGAACAAGTTGAGACAGATATCTTTCTTCGAAATTGAAAAATTTTCTATTTTTCATTATTTAAGGTAAATATGGTTCATGTACATATTGAAGAACATTAAATACAAATATAAAGTTACGTAAAATAAAACCAAATTTTCTACTTGTATTTTATTGTTTTTTAATCAACTGCTTTAGAAATTACATTGTAAAAAATTTAAATTATATTAAACAGAAAATATAGTTTTAAACAGTTACAATTTGCAAATTTTCCTTTAATTTGGTGTGAAACTGGGAACTTCACTGCAAGAGTCAGCCTGTACACTGCAGGGTCACACAATCCACTTGCTGACAAACCACCATCACCCTGCAGGTGATGGTGAGGTGCAGGTGAGGTACATGGTGTAATGCAGTACTTTGACTATTACAATGATGACTGCCAGCAGTAAAAAGTAGATTCTGATACTATATTTCAAATAACAATTCCTAACAATAAAACAATGTATTTCTTTGGGTATTTTTCTAAATTAATCCAAAGAGCTAGGAAACATTTATGAAAAAATGTTTTGTTTTTTATATTTAAATTTTGAATAAAATTTTTTCCAAAAATATATTATTGACGGAAATATATTTACAAACACAGAATATTTATTTTAAAGAATTTTGTGCATAAAGACCCTAAAATATTTAAATGAAAAAAATAAAATTTTAGTGAAGTACGGGGGTGGGGCTGGAGTTTAAATATATTTTGTTTTCTATTTTTAGTCAGAATCGGTGATCGAATCATTTTACTTAATTTTGCATGGGGCCAGTTTTTATCATCTTCTCCAGTTAGACCCTCTGGATCAATGCAAGTCACGGAACAATAAATGGAGATTAAAGAAATAACACTTCAAGAACTATTACCTTTTACATTCTGTGGCTTCTTTTTCCCAGTCTTGCAAATCCATTATTCCAACTAACCTGTGAATAAGCTTGCTTAACATTTTATTCACCTGAGGAATTTGAAGATCACATAAATCAGAAAACAAATTTTCCAATATTTTTTCTTTTAAATGATTGTCTTGTATTGCACTAATAAAATCTTCTGCTTTATTTACATCAACATCTTTTGTATTATCTGCATCACCCTGATTTTGGATCTTTTCTTCTTTTGATTTTTCTTCACCCTTTTCATCTGTATATTTTTTGTAAACTTTCTGAATTGCTATCAAAGTGAACTCCAAAAGATGTTCAGCTTCAACCCAGAATTCATTTACAGCTTTTTTCTTGTCATGTTCATTTAAATGCTTATTTGAAAGGGAAATCTGAACATTACCTAACTGATTTGAATCTCTGTTCTCTTCAACTTCCATTGCCATATGCTCAGAAACTTTTTTTGTGTTATTAGGAATATTAACACATATTTCAAGTTCTTTATTTTCAATTTCAATATCTGATCTTTTTGATCCTTTTAATGAACTATCAGGAGTTTGCATTTCTTTAAAAACATTAACTTCTTTTTGAATTAATGTTTCAAGTGTTTTAAGAGATTCAATCATAGGATTAAAAATATTACCACAATCTTCAGAATTTTCAAACATAGATTTTATGGTTTTTAGTTCTTCATTGATATCAGAAACTTTTCCATAGCCTTCAATGATTAATTCATAGTGAGAAGGTGTGACTAAATTCTTTGGGCCTTGAGATAATTCCATTTCTTTCTTCTTTCTATCTCTGTCCAATGCATTTTCAGGTATGACAATCCCAGATTTATTTAGTGAAAGCTTGAATTTTGAAGCACTGGCTATTATAATCTTTAATTTTTTAGTCAGAGCCTCCCAACATGGGTCTGCATGAACCATACTACTTATTTTATCTACTGATGACTGACCAGAAAGGTCTATAACGAAAGAAGATTCAGTTTCCTGTGGGCATGCTTTTAACAGTATAAGGAACTGTTCAGCCCATAGAATTATGTTGACTAGCAAGTTGTTCAAGTTTCTCTGAAAAATAAAGTAGGAGAATGCATGTGAAATATCAATTTTTATTTGTTTATAATTTTATGTAAATGCATAAAAATTAGTGACTATTACAAGGTTAATAGATAAGTTGGAAGATTTTTGTCCAATACATTTTTTGACAGACCAATTCACAGAAAATGACAAATATTTATTAAAAGATATCTGTTTACAAGGTTCACATCACATTCTTCACAGATAAAATTTTATTACATTCTATTCTTCACAGAAAAGAAAAAGAAAGAAAGAAAGAAAGAAAGAAAGAAAAAACAACAAAAAAACCCTACAATAATTGATTGATTAGAGATTCCAGGCACATAGGGTCATCTGCTATGGTTATTAGTGCCATGGTGTTATCCAGCACCTGCCTGTCGACTAACAAGGTTTTCACAAACCAGGTAACTCCCAAAAGTGGGGCACTGTCCCTGCCGGGACATGCTCTGAGCTCCCAATGGGTCTCCCTGAATGTGTGGTAATGTAGGGCAAGTAAGTGTGAGGAAGGTAGGGGTGAGGATAGGAGAAGGAAGAAGAATATAAGATCATGCATGGTCTGTGCCCAGTTTGTTAGGGTACTGCTCCGGCATTTGCCTGGTATTGATTGGAGAAACTATGGGAAACTACTGATCAGAGCAATTGGCCCACTAGAATTGTCCTCCAGACAGCGACTAAATTTGACCTAGTTATCTAGATGGTGTCAAAAATCCTGCCACTGTTGGGACTAGAACCTAATACCTCCGAGAGGCACTGCAATGACATCAATTGATGCCCTGAGCCACCTCTTCTGATAATATTATAATGCCAAAGATGCAGTTTCAATATGATAAAGAAACTCATTTGAAGAAAGGGAGTACACAGACAGACAAACAGAGACAGACAAGAGACAGAGAGAGACAGATAGAGACACCAACACAAACAGATTATTCAATAGTCTCTTACAAAAGGGATATTATTAAGTAGTATACTAACCCAACATTGGTGGAGCTCTGATTGTCGTGGTAGGAAAGTATCACTTTTCTTCAATGATGCAACTTGAGACATATAGAAACGAAGAAAACGTAATAAATTGAATGATTCAATAAGTTTTTCTTTCTGCATCTTTGCATAAATCTGTAAAAAATAAAACAAAAAATTAGAATAAAATTCCAACAAACAAACACCTTGTCATTTGTTAAGAACATGAAGTGAAAACTGAAGTTTGAGATTTATATACAGAAACAAGTTATAAGTCTTTTAAATGAAGTCAATGAGGCACATGAAATAATTTTGGAGTTCACAGTCATCAAATATAGATAAAATTTAACAAGTATTCAACAGCTACGTTTTGTATGAAGTATGATGTTTTGCTTGATACCAAACTTGAGATCTTTCGCGAAAGCTGAGTCTGGGAGTAAGTGGAACCATACATGTTAAAATGGTATGTGTGCACATGTGATGTGTGTGGATGGCATCATACATGCGTGTGGTATTTGCGTGTGTGTGTGCACACATGTATGTATAGGTCTAGTGTCCAGCTGACTCAATGTTTTCATGAAGAGTTTTTCATTTATGTTGAAAATAAAATTATTTTTATTAGTTGACTTATAGTTAATATTTATAACAATAACAATTGATTCACTGAACGATTTACATTACTATAGAAAAGGAGTAAACCTATATAATTTTTAATACGCATCATTAGCTTGGGAGGGGGAGGGGGGAAGGGGGCTGAAGCCCCACAATCCTGCCCTCCTGGATGTGCCACTGGTTATGATTAACACAGGCGTTAAAATTTATATAAATCCACCAGTGTGATAAGTCTATTGAGACAGTCTTTTGTGTCTATTGTGACTCCAGGCTAAATGGTGTATGAGTAAGCACTAAATTATTTAAACAGCATGTAATGAATGAATAACATTGAAACCAATTGTCAGTTAATAAACAACAACTCATAATGTAGTTTGAATGAAGTCCTTTATTCACAGTGTTAGGTGGAGGAAGAAGTTTTTTCTGCATCCCATTTTCCCAATATGAATATTTATTGTTTCTTCTAACATTCCAAACATTACTCTATTACCGATTTTTATCTTTCAAAGAGCAAAATCAAGAAAAAATTATAGTATTTTATCTAATAAGTCATGAAGTTACTTAAATTAAATGTAATTGGACCAAAAATAATTACATAAACACAATTGCAAACAATTTATGACTTTCTTCAACAATATGGGAACACTATTGGAAATATATTTTCCTGACCTTCCTGTGTGTTCCAAGTTATTCTAGAAAATTTCAATCTTTAAGCCAACCAGGAGAAATTTCTCAGGAGTGATTCTCACTTTATAATAAATTTTGTACTGCTATTTGTACTCAAGAGAAACTGTGCAAGTCTCCTTGAATAGTTGCTATTTGAAAATCTTCTTGTGTACTTGTTCAATGCATGCATTCAAAAAAATTAGGTGGGGAAAAATCTAGTGTACTCACCATTAAGTGGGAACTGAATCCTCTCAGTCTTTCAATAAGTGCAGGTCCAATATCAGGATGAGGATTTTTAAGGAAAGTATCCAAAAGTGACAACCTAGCCATTGACCGATAAAAATAGGTCTCACTTCCATCACACACTGTAGCTAGTTCACCATCAGGACGACTGAAATATAATTAAAAATTACTTAACAATAATAAAATAGAAATTTACTATGCTCTAAAGTTATCAAATTATGTAATGTCATTATGCAAGTTAAGAGACACAAACACTTTTGGGATTTCAATGCCATAGCAATCTTTGTAAAGAACAAACTAAAAAATAAAACATTCTGGACACTAAAACACTATTTCTATAATAAAACAAAAGAACTTTACCATCCTTTAGAAGTAGCTTTCACAAGACCACACAACTGAAACGTAGAATGTTGGACACCAACAACCAAATCAAGAGGTGGAACATTAAAATCAAACAAACTATTAGCAATTTCTTCATCGTTCCATACAGCCACACCTTTACGAAAAGAGATTCCAATTTGTTGCAAAGTGCGAAATCCATCAGATAAGGCTTTCTTTTTCAGCTGAAGGTGACTTTTGGCAAGAGACTTCCGCCGTTGGTTGGACGTGTCACTAGGAATCTAATAAACAAAAAAAGAAAGAATTGCCAAAAATAAATTCAGTTATATTTTAATACAACTTTATTTTTTATTTATTAATTTGTTCTCAAATTTTTTCTCAAACAAAAACAAGTAAGATTATAAAAACAGCATAGGACCCTCTTTTTCTTCTTTTTGTAATTAATTTTTTCCCCCCATAAATGTAATGATACCATGATCTTATTAGCTCTGTTCTTTGGAATTCATAGCAGGTATTTTATTTGAACATGTTTTCCAAAATTTTAATGTTGTAAACCTATTGGGGTTCTTTCCAACTTAATTATTAGCTTAATACAGTAAATATATTTTGTGTTATTCTATTCTTTTATTTAAATGGAGATCACACATTAAGTTTCAGCAATTCTTTTAAATGACTGTATTCCTGTTTGTGGCTGAGAAGCATGTAACGACCCTGTTGGTTCTTTTGAATAGTCTTACTTGATGTTAGAACGTTATTACATTACATAATGTAATTCTCACAGTTCAGAAAATGTGAGAATTATGATTTCAAGAAAAGTAGCATCAGTGTTCTTAAGACATGACATAACACTTACCTCTAAGCTCTTAAGATGATTTACAGTGTTTATCATTTCACCAATTATTTCATCAGTAGTTTTTATCATTTGCGGGTATAAAATTTCTGGAAGAGCCTCTTTGATAAGGGTACGTGACTTGTAAAAAAGGGTAACTGCTCTATTAAGCAAAGGAGTAGCCCTCTGGGTTGTCTCACATGGGATAATTAATTGCTGCAACAATACAATAAACTTGAATATGTATTAACAAATTAGTACACAAAAACACTTTAGAATGAACAACACAATAAACAAATGAAAAAGAAGCACCATTAATTACACATACAAGTACTCACATCCTCATCCACATCACCTGTATTTATGGAAAAACCTGATGAGGGTGGGAGGGAGGGGGGAGGAACAATTTAATTTTTAAATTATTTAGATACTTGCCCCCAAAACGCTGGATGTTAGATAAAAATCTGGAGGCAGTTCTCTGTTTTTCATGCTTTGTCGTCGCTGACGCCGATCTAGTTGGCCTACAGCTTCTGAGAGCAGCGAGGCACCACCTGGATGAGGATTAGTGATAACAGATGTCACTGGTTGCTTTAAAATAGCTTCAAATTCACGGACATATTTGAGCAGTGTGCGGCGTGTCTTCTCAACAGCTTTCTTAACTGCCCAATAATTAATATCGTTCCAACGTGCTATTTTCACAAAATCACGTAATTTCTTCTCAATCGGAGCTCGTAGATCATGAATTTTCAGAGCGATTTGCTCTGAAAACTGATTGTAATACTGATGAACATTCCATAGAATATTGACAAGGTTACCTAGTGGAAAGAGCATATATTCCATTATGTCTTATTCAAAGAATCATCAAAGTGTTTTGGAATGCATGTCATTAGTTTATATGATACTCACTTTGCCTACTGGAGTTTGACAGGTGAATTGCATGGCAATGGAAGGAAAATAATATATCAAGTCGAGCATGGAAATCTCCCAGAACAGATTTTTCCATGAAGTTTTGAAGTGATTTAATGAGATTCTTTTCTGTGTTCAAGGTGTCTGTTATACCACTTTTATCAAAAGATTCCACAATAGAAAATATATGGAACCACCAATGTGAGGCACTAGTGGCCATTCTAAAAAGAAAAATACACAACATATATCCATTTTTAAAGTAAATAGTATAAAGATTATTTATTACTAATTTTTTCTTGAGACCACATTAGAACATAACAACAATTTAATTTCTCACACATTCTGAGAAGTGTGATTCTCAAATTTGAAATACCTGTAAGCAGCAGTATTAAGGCAATCCTTCCAACACTGCAATTCAAGTTTACGCCACGAAATAATTTGATTGGTAAGATGTTGCATGTGGTTTGCCATGCTAACCTTACTATGTGCATTTTCTTCCCAGTCTTGAAGTTTCTCTAACAAGAATTCAAGACCAGTAAGAAATCTTGAGAGTGGACTAGTAATAGGGAAGGAAGTAACTCGATCTATTACCACTAAAATCTGTTCCAAAGAAAACACATTGAAAAATAATGAGTCGCACAACTCTTGTACTTATATTCATTTTTTGCATTTATTACAAAATATATTTGATAAAATATTTGGATTATACTTACATAATAAATAAAAGGTAATTTCCTAAATAAGAATCATTGAATGCTATTTTATTACCTGATTCAGTGTTGGGTGATCAGGCCATTCTTTTTTCAACTCCCTAGTTCGCTTCTCAATGGCACTGACAACAGGCAAACACTGACGTGCCTCTTCCATGTTAGAATCATGGTAGAAATCAGGTGGTCTTTCAGGGATAACTGACGCACTCTTACTGAACTCATGTAGTACTGGCCTTTCAGATACATTTGGTAAGTAATTTCCATTACTAGCGCTCAGAGCTAGAGATGTTAAAAGAGCTAAACTCGGTGCCAAACTCCAATCTACAGATGAATCAAGTCCTGATGCAGCATGTGGGAGAAGCTGATGAAATGTCTGAAATCTGTAATGTAAGTCTTGTTAATAGCACATTAACTCTATTTAAGATTTCTCCGACTGAAGACCTTTTTAGCTTTACAGGCAGGAAAAACTCAAAAAACCAGAGCTTTAATTGCCCGACTGAAGTGAGCAACATTGCTCAAATGTTTGTTTTGAAGATTATAAAATATATTTGTAATGGGGCATTTAAATTTTAAATAGGAAACATGTTGATAAGTATATTTCAAATTTTGGAAATTGAGTAGGATCCTTGAGCAACATGAAATAGACCATAGGGATTAATCAAAACAGAGCAGGTACAGACATTTGCTTCCCTCCCCCTTAGAAATTGGGTATGAAATACAAATCATGAAACATTTCAAATATATCTATGAAATTATATTTGACAAGGTTTGATTTGTATTTAAAACATGAGATAAAAAAGGATTTATTTTAAATAGTAAAGTAGGCCTAAATAATATAAAATTTGAAATTAATATCCTTCCCTCTCCAATCTAGTACTAGCTACACTTGTGCATTAAGCTATTTAATATAACCATTGAAATGAATGCAAAAAGTCACTGACAACATGCTAAACAATACATATTTCATATCAACGCAAATGATATTTCTATCTGTATTTTTACATTATTACTACACACACTTATTTTTTAAATAGTGGAACATAACTATTTGTAGATATGAATAAAAGAAACTTACCTTTGCAATAGTGGTGATACAAAATTAGGTTTCACAACACAATTAGGGGGTGGAGCAATCCACTCAGTGTGAGTAAACATCTTCATTAACTCGAAGTGTAAGCGTGAGACAAATGTCATGTCTTCAGATGAAACTAAATATTCTGAAGAAACAACAGGTTTAAGAACTGGAGCAGAATCAGTGTTTAAAGTTAAATCTCCAAAATCATCGTCTATGGTAGTGGGAAAAAATTCTTGGAGGCCCAGTGCCTCCAATTGCTCATCTGAGAGAGTTTCACACTGAGTAGTACCTCTGTAATGAGAGGAAACAAACAACAAGCATCCCTCTATTATTAATAGTTCCAAAAATGTTTAGACATAAATTAACATAAATTAGTTTAAAAAAAGGCACATTTTAAAAATACATACAATTGTAAATATTATATGAACTAGAAAGTATATGTCCAAGAATACAAAAATCGAAGTTCCTTCAACTTACTTCTGAATAAAAATCTGTTGTTTTTCAGTTTCTTTCCGTTTTCTTTCATCACTCTCACTCACCCATAATTTTACTACTCGAGTTAATATTTCTACTAACAAAGACCAAGTAGTGGAATCCACATTTCCCTCTGCAGTAATAATATTTCTTATATCTTGAAGACCCGATTTCATTAGCCTGAAAAAAGAAAAAAAAAGTTAAATCTGGCTAAAAAAAAGTAGAGAGATAAGTCTTATAAAGAAATTGAAATTTCAGAAACATCAGATGATATAAATATATTTGATGTGATTCATATTTATAGTGTTTCACTTGAAGTTGAAATTCGTATCGATCCAAACCTTTAAACATTCTTTGCCTATTAAAAATGAGAAGATGTTAAAATACATTAGAATACAAAAGAATGTGTTTTAAACAATACCGGTAGGTTTCTCGTTTGAGAGGCTGATCATTCTCATCTTCACAAAGGAGTTGCTGCAATTGCTGGCAAAAGACACGATCAAGGCATAGGCTCACAGTTCCTAAGGGAACACCTTGCTTGGGAACCGCCACTGGAAACTGCACCAACTTGACAATATCCTCTACTAATTTAAATTTCAGACGAACAAGTAATTTCTGGATGGTAGATGCCAAAAGACTTGTGCCGTGACATAACTACAAATCAAAAAAATCATGGAATTCATTAACTTCGTTTTATAAAATTTCCAGTACATATTTTTTTCATATCTATGTACAAACAAGGAGAAAAAGGTGCTTGGAGGTGAAGAGAAGACTATCAAAAGGGAAAGAAAAAAAAAAGGGGGGGGGTTATCCCTCTACCCTTAACTTTTATTAACATAACACACAATTACAAATGAAAAAAAGCTGTTACAAACCTGTTGTGCAGCAGACAAGAGTGGGATAACTAAATCAGGAAAATGCAATTTATAAGTTTTCTCAAGGCGTGAGCAAAACATTTGTTGTGAATTGCGCCACATGCGCTCCTCATTCAGCAGGGTACCAGTAGCAACAGACAATTCATGAACACGTGTTTGAGCTAATGCAGGATGTTGGATACTTTCTTGCAGTTGTTGGCACATGTTTTGCAATTTTTTCTTTAGTCCCAGAATCATTTCTGCCGAACCTAAGCTGCTGGAGTAATGACTTGCATCCTGCATACAAAATATTAATCAATGCACAATTAATCAATATCAGTGATTCGCAAATGGTACTCGTCTAAATTTTTTGTTTAAATATTGTTTAACTATTTAATCACAATATTTTTCATAATGTGATTTGTTTAAAAAATACACAATTATATATTATTTTAATTTTAGGAGTAATAAAATTTTAATTAAAAAAAAGAAAAAAAACAATTCTGCTTTCAAAACCTCATTTATTTCTTGAATACTTATTACTTAATCTTTATTACTTAAACCTAAGTAATAATAAATATGATTATATCTGTGTAAATAATGCAACACAATAATCAATAACGCTTACTTTGGTAAGTTGGCAGAAATAAGGTTGAACTGATGGTCGAAAGGCCAAATTCTTATGCAATTCATTCTTGTAGTCAGAAAGAAGCTTAAGTCTTTGATGAGAAGCTACAATAAAGGGATGAAGGTCATCTGGCATCTGATTTGAAAGGCTGAGACCTGCCAATTTTGCTTGTAGTTCACGAGCATACAATAGCTGTGATGTATCTTTAAGCTGAAAGAAATTTAATTTGTACTAAATTGTTAACATTGCAAGATCTAATAAAATGATTCACATCATGATGTATGAATCATATTTCATTTTTAAAAGCTATAACATTTATAATTAATTACCTCTTCCATTACATACAAGTACTGTAATGTTCTTTTCTCCACTGGATCAAAATGGCCAAATTTGGTTAGTAAAATTATTTGAACGCATCCAACTAACATCCATGCTTCACCAGCAGCTATCAACATTTCTACATCGGATTCAGATTCTTTCTTTTTTAACAATTTCTGAAGTTTTTCTCCTACAACCTCCAATGTGTGGAGGGCTTCAGAAAGCTTTTGAACCTCTGGTAGGCTTTTTCCTTCTAATTTTACAAAATTATCAAATTTTTCAGCAATGTTCATTCCAGATGAAAATGTTATACCATTCTTTTTACTCATATCTAATAAAATACAATTCAAAGTTTCCTTCAGTTTTAAATAGACTGAATATACACAGTGTGAGTCATTCAATCTGAAAGAAAAACAGACACTTAGACAAAGGGTTTTAGAACAAAATAAAACCAAACTAAGAAAAATTAAACTAATATCCAACAATTATATTCTTATACTGAGAAATTCCACGCACTTGTAGCAGAAGTTGGGTAATGAAAGGGTTGCCATATTTCTCCACAGCAAATTTAATAATGTATTGAACTTTAGTGTGATTAAATGTTGTCTTCCTAGAGGAGAATGTGCTATTAAATTTGATTCTCCTGAATTCCTTTCTGTTTCTCTTTCAACAACAAGGTTGGTTACCAAATTAGTCAGTAAAGGGCAGTGCATAGGCAGGGATCCCTGGAATACAATAAATTTAGTTATCACTTGTTATGAATCATCAACAACCTGTTCTCTGAACTGTACAAGAATAATTTAACAATAAAATATTATGAATTTCAACAGAACCTCACCTGTGATGCTTGTAAATCTGTCATAAATTCTTCAACAGTTTCATTATCAGATGTGTCTATGGCTGAGTTCCAAGAAAGCCAGTGGGAGCTCAAGGATCGAGAAGGAGACAAAGTATGATGAAGAAGACTAATTCGAATGAGCTCACACACTGGCACATTTGTACTATCACTTGGATTAAACAACTGCCGAACTATATTCAACATCTCTGCTGGAATGCTTGGCAAATCTTCCAAAAATGCACACAATGTTGTAGAAATATTAGGATTTCCTTCTATTCTGATTGTACCAGCTGTTGTGTTTGGAGATAAACTTTCATCCTGAGATCTAAATTTCACATTTAAGTGTTCTTTCATGAATGAAATTCCTAAACAAAGAGCAATGTATTCTTGTACAGGCCATAGCTGCACCTCAGTGGAAATTAAATTTTTGTCTTCCTGGATTTTAGGTTTTTGTTCTGTCCCAGAGCTATCCCGGAAAGTTAGACTGGCTTCATCACAAAGACGTTCAACTCGTTCTACACACTCTGTCACTGCAAAGTTAAAACATAAATACAAGCATCTAAGCATTTCAAACATATACTCAGAATTTATTTTGACTTAAAAATCTTACCCAATTCCAGCTGATCACTCTTTCTAATGTTTTCCATGGCACACACTAAATATTTACGTGCCTCCTTGCCTGCATCTGTGGTCAGAAATGCCACACGAGCAGATTGCAGTTTCATGTGGCCAGGATCAGATGATGGCCATATTAGTAACAAATCAGCAACTCTGGAAATAGGAAATGTGGCCAACAAAACAAATTTAAAAAAAATTCTCATTAACACATTGCAATAACTACGTTGTCAGTACATATATCTTGCCTCATTCAAATAAGATTTTTATCAATACCTTTGGATTCGTTGTGCAAGTTCACTTTGTTCAGAGGAAGAATAAGGCAGAGGTTGACCTGCAAGTCTTCGCAATTTCTTGCCAATTTGATGCAATGGTGTTTGACAGGACTTAATGACACTGCTTACTGAATCAAGAATCGAAGCTAACTTCTTACTGCATTTGCTTCTTTGCCTAAAAATAAATAAATAAATCAGAAAGAAAGTTAATTCACACATTTCCAAACCATAACAATAATTATATTAAAGTTACAAGAATAATTTTCCAGAAAAATATGAGATAACTCACAATTGTGGGTCCTGTTTAGCAAGTTCTTGAAGAGGTGATAGCATTTGTTTAAGTAACCAGTGAGTGTGCACAGTGAGTCTAGCTACAACTATGTCCAACTGCCGGCTGCCTGGTTCTCCAATTAACTGCAAAGCACCTTGTTCTGCTAGGCGGAAGCGCCACTGAAAAGCAGCTTCTAACGTTGCCCATTCTTCAGTACTAACCGACACATATTTACTGCTTAGTATGGTTTCAGTAAATGCATCTAAGTTTTCAAGGAAAGGCTTGAAGTGGACAATTAGTGGGTGACTGGTCACATTATCCTGCATTTCTCCTACAAAAACATAATACATTGCAATATTAAAGGATATACTTTGGACAAGGAAATAATGAATATTATTATTTTCAGATCTCCAGATATTATATGTACAGCCTTCCTTGTATGTAGGAAGTATATATTGTAAGTAGGAATCGTTACTAATAATACAAGGAAGTATGGGCTGCTGTAGCATCACTAGTTGACCCTTCTGTTACATTTTTGGTAGTTTAGTTATTCTGGGTACCCACTCTGTAGCATGGGTGGTCAAAAAGGAGCAGAATCTCATAATTTATGTAAAATTATACTGGCTATTTGATATTTTATGCAAATTAATCTCACAGATCTAAGCATTTCTCTTTATTAATTAAACGCCAAGCAAACATTATAATAGTCGTCCGCACACAGTTTAAGGCCTATAATAATGTAACGCGTAGAGCAGGGGCTGTCCGTTCAAAATTTAATTCCAATAAACACGCGCGCACACACACACACGCGTGCACACGCAGACGCACGCACGCACGCACACACACACACAAGCGTGCGCACACACACACGCGCACAAAAACAACAACAAAGCTCACACTGTTGAAAGAAACGTGAAAAAAGAAGGACAGAAGGGGGGAGAGCGCACCTGCGGAGACCGCCTCCGAGTACTCTGCGACGGTGATGGGCTGGCGTGTCTTGGCGGCGCGCGGCGGCGGGCGCGAGCGCGGGCGCGGGCGCGGGCGGGGGCGCTCCACCTTGGACGCGGCCTCCTCAACGCGCGCCAGGAAGAGGAAGCGCGCCAGCAGCGCCACGCGGTTGGCGGCGCGCGCAGCGGCGGCGGCGCGGGCGGCCGGGCGCAGCAGGCGCGCGCCGCCGGGCAGCCAGCGCACGTCCCACGGCAGCCCCTCCGGCGCCGGCGCCGCCGCCAGCCCGCCGCTCGCCACCACGGCCTTGGTCAGCGCGTCGCGCAGGGTGCGAGACGCCGTCACGGCGAAGTTGAGGCACTCGCCCAGGTCCACGTGGCGCTGCGACGCCTCCGCGCGCACCTGCAGCTGCTTCAGCCACGCGTGGCGCAGCGCCAGGTCACGCGGGCTGGCGCCCTCGTAGAAGATGTACAGCAGGTGCGGCAGGAACTCCAGCACCGTCGCCGACAGCTGCAACGCCCCACAGCACCCACATCAGCAAATAGACAACGCGTTCACAAGAACGGTCATAACGTCAAGAATCCAAGTCCAACTTCAAGGCAGATGTAAAATATACCTAAAATTTAAGCAATTAATATAATGCGATTCATTGCCTCCCCCATTAACATCCACAGAATTTCGGGAATAAGAACAATCCTGAAATAATTCTTGCTATAAGCTCAGGAAAGGTATGTCAGATTTATTCGTAAATTTTTTGACATAGTGCCTGAATTTTGTCGGATTTATTGAGATAGATGGCAGAGATAAAAATTTACAATACATAAACTTTTCCTGATACAGAATTGAGAGGGAGACTGGCACAAATGTGGTAGGTCTTCAATTTCAGAAATTAAAGACCGATCAATTAGTTATATCCGATAGCTTATACAATGTCTTGCATTTTCAGACATACATAAAAAACAAAGAACCGAATTATAATCTTCATGCACTTTTGCAATTTATTTGTGTGGGCAATGCATTATTGTCAAGCAATTACATATTGCCCCATCGACTGCAGTAAGCAATTTTGTCTGTACACCAAAGTGAACACCCTTGAAGACAGCTGGTCCCCGATACAATTCCCGAGCCCCGAGCTTCAATCACCACCGATACAAGAACGACTCAACGTCCAGGGACGGGCGAGGCGTTGACGCTGACGCTGGCTGACCTGCGGCGAGCTGTCCTCGTGGTGCACGTCGAGCAGGCCGGCGAGGAACTCGGCCGGGGAGTCGGTGTGGCTGGCCGCCAGCACGCCCAGCACCAGCGCCAGCAGCGCGCCCTGCTGCCGCACCGTCGCCGCCGTCGAGTCCTCGTGCAGGCGCGCCGTGGAGGGCGTGGTGTCGTACACGGCCAGCTGGTCCTCGGGCCGCACCGCCTCCTCGCCGCCCGCGCCCGCGGTCTGCTCCAGCGCCGCCGTCACCACCTGCGGCCACGCCGGGAAGCACATTTTTCAATTGCTCTTGGCAACCAACAGAACTTAAAGATAAGATACATGATTACTATGATTTTTTCGAACAAAGAAAAAATAATTCATGTTAATCATTATTTGATTAGTAGAGCGTCAATTATATCCACATGAATAAGTGAGTCCTGTATATGACATAAATACTGAATTCCAAATTAAACTCACAAACCGTAATTAAACTCGGAAAACGCACACTTTGTCTACGTTTATATCGCACGTAAACCTACGTCTAGACAGGACACTTGATGGTCCGGTTAACTGACGGCCGGATATTTAGCGCTTTCTTGTACCTCCTGTTTCGTTTTTCACTAAGTTGCTTTTAAAAAAGTAAGTGAGCGATTGTTTGCATGACTCTGTAGGGGGAAGGATCGGTTTTAGTTTCGTAAAGTTGCACAATTAAAATAATAATTTAGCCCGAATAGGTAATTCAGATAGTTCGCTTTTAATTTTTTTCCGAATTAAAAAACTTACGAACAACAATGTGGTCTATCTACAGCCTCAAAGCACCTACAAACAGCAAATCCGACATTTTTAGAAATGAATAAATGAGGCGGAGATTTTAAAGCAGAATTCTACGTGCAACTAAGAGTATATACAAATGGATTAAAAAAAACAAAACAAAACAGATGTTTTTGTTCCGGGAGCCTCAAACACACCTATTATTAAAGTATTAACATGTAGTTCGATGTCTGTTGCACAAGATCACATTTTTCCCTCGCCGATTGCATTGCTCTCGTCGGCGTTGCTAAAAGCTGAACGGTTCTTGCCCTAAAAGTATTTGATGAAAACCGAACCAGTCCGATTTCGTACATAAAAAAAACAAAAACACCACCAGGGCCTATTCCAGCGCGCCAGAGGCACGGGTGAGACGGGCCGTCGGCTCACCTGGAGGAGCGTCTGTTTGGCGGCGCCGGCGCCGGCGGAGCTGCCGCTGAGGGCGCGCGTGTGCGCCTTGACGTAGGCGTCGCAGCACGACGCCAGCAGCGCCGCTTGAACGCTCTGACCGCGCGCCGTGCGCTGCCCGGTGAGGAAGGCCGCGTGCAGCAGGTGCGTCAGGCCCGGCGGCTCCGAGTCTGCCAGCGGAAAACACACACGCTCGACACACTCTTGCGAGTACACATTTGGAGAGGAAAGTAACATCGTGACATTAAAAAAACCGGTTCAATGTTAAGGCGGCTCCACACTTTCGGCATTCGCCGAGGTATCATTCGCTATTAATACCGAGCAGCTAATGCTGCTGTATTGACTGTATAAGACTAGCTCAGAATGTTCGACTCTCGGCAAGTAGCAAGCAACATACTCCCACAATATTCGGGATTCTGCGAGCGGTCGTTCGCTACTCGCCGAATAATCAATGTCTGGAACCACCTTTGACGTGAATACAACCCGCAATACGCTTGTGTTTACAGGATTGCCTACCCTCCACCCTAGTGTTTTGAGAGAGACTAGAACGTTCTTTGACGAGTTAGCTTCTCATGAATAGTTTTGGTGGTCAGGCAAGAAATAAGAAAATATCCATTGCAAATACACCACGTATTGTAAGTTTGTATATGAAAGAAATTAGCCTCATGTTGGAAGATGCGACTTCCACTACAAGGCAATAGCAAGAAAATCATATATCTCGTTTCTGCCATTTCTCAATTTACGAGTTGTGATTGGATGTCTGCCTCCTGAGGGATCTGCTCGCTTCAAACTTTTACGATCGGGAACTACGAAGGTTGGTGCGTTATTTGCTGAAGGCAATTAAGGGCGGCGTGCGGTCTCAGATCGCAACCCGCCCCGAAGCGTCACATGATTGGTTTCCTTGTCGAAGTTTGCGAATGTTAGCAGAACCAAATTGCGTTCCCGTGTTTCTCGAAATTACTTTTTCGAGATCATCAAAGCTAGTTACCGTAAAATACAATTTTATTTGTCGTATTCTGTTCTCTTTTTCGTTAAGGTAGATTTCCTGTAACTATCCATCATTCCTTAGCGATCCATAAAATGTTAAAGTATTTATGAGGGGGTCAACTATGCAATTAAAATTTCAGCTGAGATACTGTTTTGTATATACGGATATTGAATATTGTCACACAACATTCATAGGCATGTTGGTCGCTCGCACCATCTCCGTAGACACAGCACTGCAGCTGAGGGCACCGAATATTTCCCCATGGAAGTTTCCCTACACAAGGGAGTTAAACTTGCGGTCCCCATATAGACGAATTATGACAATGAAAGAACCCTCACAACAACTTTAGCGTGCAAAATTTATAAAAAAGTGTTTGAACCGATGGAGAATATTCAAATATAAGTTAAGACGGTAAAGCAAGAAAAGGAACGTAGCGCATGTCTAACCTATTCTTATCCTTAATTAGATTAGTGGATTTTAATGGCATCATCAGATCTGGTATATGGACGTTAATTCCAAATTTTGAAGACACGTTCGGTTATGCATAAAATACCAACCCTGTTTAACTCGTAAATCGATAGTCTCGCCTGCCCCCCCCCCCGCCAAGGGGCGCGAGGGGGGGGGCAACAATTCTAGCTCTGGTGGAGGATTTAGAAACGTTCAAACCAATTTCTGGCTGTTAGTGCCGAAGAGGGGTGCAGCCGAGAGGCGAGCAGTCCCCCCCTTCTGGAGTGACCAGAATAGATTTCCACTCAACCACCCTAATAGCTGATGGCCGGAACGGGGAGGGGGGGGGGTCTTCCCAGGTTACTAGGCCAATAGAGCTGGTATGGGGGGGAACGCATTGCGGGTAGCATTCGGCCTTCATCCCGGTCCCGGTCGGCGGCAGCGGCCACCGCAGCCGAAGGCGGCCGTCGCACTCACCGGGCCAGGCGTCGGCAGCGGCCTGGTGCGCGGCGAGCAACGCGCGCCGCTCGCGGTGGCGGCGCAGGCCCCGCGCCGCCAGCAGCGCCGCCATGTCCAGCGCCCCCAGCGGCTGCTCGGGCAGGTACAGCTCCACGCCGCGGTTGCGCATCGCCCTGCGCCACACCACACACACCACATCACATCACTCACCGACAGGACCATTAACAACACACAAATGGGGAGAAGAAGGAAAGCAATGCGGCAGGTAAAGCCCAGCGGAGGTGCTGCTTCAGGGCAGCTTTTCTCAAGCCTGTTACGCAAATACAGGGTGAGCAATCTACAGCGTGAGTAAACAACTCATTTTAAAACTAATCCACATATTCATTTAATACCAGGTTATTGATTTTATTCAATCGTTTATTTTTAATTATTTTTTAGCTTGTTTACAATTAACAATTCCTTAATAGTCGACACAGTACCACCCCACTACTTACAAGGTAGTTGAGTGGGAATGCTAAGAGACCGAGAAATGCTGCCCATTCAAAATGAATGTGAAAGTAAACATTAGACGTAACGTGCAAGTATGCAAACGTCAAGGTTTTACATTCATATTAACGTGATCTGAGGACAACGGACTATCATAAACCGCTACAAGATCCAGTGAACTTCTAGCGTTTTCGCTAGAGTGAAACTAATATAGTTCATTAGAACAGCAACTGACAGAAATTATCACTGCTCATGAAAGCCATCATAGAATCATTCCTCCCGGTTGTTATTCGTATGAAAATTATATTTATAACGACAATATTTGCATTAATGGTGATGTCAAAATGAAACGGAATTACTTACACAATGTACGCTATAAGATCAAGTTAAATTGTAACGAATGCAATGTTTGGTAGAACATATATGAGGGTAACAGAAGATTCCCAAGTCATTTTGAGCAATTCCACTAAGCTCCCGTCCTCGCGCTGCGATCGCGCCACCCACCTGGATATGTCCCCGTGGCGCGGGTCGAGCGCCAGGAAGAGGCGGAAGGCCGGGTGCGGGCTGACGGTGACGAGCTCCCCGTCGGCGCCCACGCCCCGCTCGCCCACCGTCAGCACGCCGCCGGGCTCCAGCAGCGCGTTCAGCCGGTCCAGCACAGCGGGCGAGCACAGGTTGGCGCCGTCCAGCAGCAGCCAGCTGCCGTCGCGCAGGCACTGCGCAACGCAAAGCGGCACGGCACGTCACGCGGAACCCCCGGACGCCGGTTCCCAGCGTACGCAACCAAACTTGCCACTTATCGACACTTCAGTGTCAAACTATACCTACTCCAAAGGCTGAATTTATATCAACGAACTTTGCAGAATCTTCATAAAAAGTAATATCTTATGGATATCAGGCTAAGAATTCAAAAAGAGAGGAACTTTTCGTCCCAATCTTTTCTGGAAGTAAATTTTTCGTATAATGACACTAAATACAATTTTTATTCGTGTCGTTACTGTGATTACATATGTTAACAATACTCTGGCATTCACTGAGGGCAAGCCAAATAGGGGTGGAAGGTAGGATGATTAACTTTTAGATACGATTCAGATACATTTTACAAACGTTACTCGTTATTTATGTCATTCCTCCAACTGGAGAATATTTGCATTATATCAAAGTGTTTATATAACTACAATGCAAGAAAAGTACGCTTTAAAACTTTAAGTTTAAATTACGCATGGAAATATTTCTTAGACTATATTGCGAATTCAATTACAAGCGCTATAAAATTAAAATGCAGACTCTACAACTGTTCGATTCACATGCAAACATATTCTCATCCGCTTTTCGACATAATTACTCATAGTAAAACTTTTTACAATATTCTCTACGTGAAGATAATGGAACGATGAGTACGCATTACTGGAGAACAATATATTGGGCTGAACGTTTTCAACAAAACGTGGAGTACGACCGGATGTAAATATATATGGTGAAAAAGCACACAGATGCTTTCTTTTTCTCAACCAAAAATTCGTCATTTAGTGCAAGTGTTGAAAGTTTTCTTCTCTTGAAAGGGTAGAACGTAAATTAAGTTTTACGGGTTATTCTAAGGTTGCGTCGTCCTGAATTACAATTTCGGAAAAAAGCTGGGCGCATGTCGCTTGTTCACAAACAACTCTAATCAACCGAATCCGAAATAAATTGGGTCTGTGGAACATTCCGTTTTCGTTCTTCTCAAGCCCAGAACCTTTCTCGCTTTCAATGTAGAGATTTACACCTACCGTCTTCCCGCGGGAAAAAAAAAATCTGGAAATACGCGACAAAGAATTCTTAACTTTTTCCTTCGCGGCCTCTCGTGGGAGGTGGGTTGGGAAGGGATGCGCAAAGAACGTTCGCTACGTCGCTTCCAGAATTTCATCAATTGGGGCCAAAAGGATATCAGAAAACCGAAAGTCACAAATTCGACTTGCGAAAATGAAATTTTCAAAGAAACGCAAAATCAATAATAATACAATGTTTAAAATAAGCGCCTAATCGCCGAAGAATGAAGTAATTTATATGATGTGAAATGTTTTTATCAAGTCAACAAAAATGCTACGATGCGGCTAGTTGCGAAGTCGACGCGGCTCCTGCCCGTGTGCTTACATCACTTACATTGATTGATGTTTCTGGGAAATACTAAGGCCAGCAGCCCCGTAAGTGTAGCACACGTTTTATCGCGGCGATATTTTCCTTGGATGACAAGATCCAGTGCCGACCTATATGTCGGTTAGAAGGTTTTCCCTAACCAGGCATCTACTAATGATGCACGCCCCAGTCGGGAAATGCTCTGAGTTCCCGACATGTATGGTAGTGTAGTGCGTGTGAGAGAGGAAAGGACATGGAAGAGGAAGAAAAGCTCACGGGTGGTCCGTGGCCCGTTTGTTGGGGTATTGCTCAGACATTCGTCTGGAGTTGACCGGGAAAACCACGGAAAACTATCGATCAGAGCAGCCGACCGCTAGCATTCTTCTCCAGACAGCGGCAGAACTCTACCTAGCTAGTGACGAAAATTACACTTACAAATTAGGCTATTATTCCATTTAACTTCAATTTCAATATTTTCTTTTCACGAAACAATTTTCTTACTCATCCTTTTTTTGTTGCGTCTACACCTACTACTATGCCTACTACTCCTAGTACTACTCATCCTCCCCCTCCTCCTCCTCCTACTACTACTATGCCTACTCGTCCTCCTCCTACAACTACTATGCCTACTCGTCCTCCTACTACTACTATGCCTACTCACCCTCCTCCTTCTATGCCTACTCATACTCCTCCTCCTCCTACTATGCCTCCCCCTCGTCCTCCTCCTCCTCCTACTATGCCTACTCGTCCTACAGAATCACGAAACAAAAGGAAAGCACGAGAAGCCAGGTGAAGCAGGCTCCGCCGTGCGCTCACCTTGACGAGCAGGCTGTCCACCCACTCGAAGGTGCCGCCGGCCGTGGGGCCGCCGGCGGCGGGGCCGGCGTCGTCCGCCACGCGCGCCTCCACCAGGCGCACGTCGGCGAGCGCCGCGTCGGCGTCCGCGCGCAGCTCCTCGTCGCTCGCCGCCACCTCCTCCAGCATCTCGCGCAGCTCGGCGGCGCGCTCGCGCAGCCGCTGCGTCTCCTCCGCCAGCGTGCGCCACTCTGCGCAAGCCACAGCGCACGCGTCAGCGTAGGCGCACAAACGGCGGGCCTACTGGACTGGAGAACACCTTCCCAGGTTCTTAATTCAATGAAGCAATTCCGGTGCTCCGTTAATCGTTATGAATAATGAAACTATTATTATTATTATTTAGGGTTTTGCAACATCAAATGTTGGTGGGGTGTCAGAGATACAAAACCGCTGTATTTATTAAAAAAATGTGTACTCAACTTTAATTTTTCAAAATACTGTTTTGAAATAAAATTCCAAACTAATTAAAGAGTCGAACTGAGATTTTTACTAATGTAAACTTTGGTACCTTTTTTTGTTGCTAGTATTGGCCCTTTCGTCTTTATAGGCCTACGGCAGATAATAGCTATTTTCGAAGCATTGTAAGTCGTCTTATTATCATAAGGACTTAGAAAATTATCAAACAAGTCCGTAAGGCCGAGCTTAATAATCAATCCAGTATTTAACGAGACTTCACTATACGAATACTGTACGTTTTATCCACTGTGTAAAAAATCCATAATTATAATTTTTGTTTAAATTTGACAATTTTATCACTTTTACCACGTGCAGTACACTACTTTCTAGACAGCCTCATTGCCATTCATTCATAATTCAAGCATACAAATCACTGTGTTACATTAAGGTCAATGATAGCTGATGCAATCAGTCGAAAGTATTTTGTTTTCTTTGTTGTATTCACAGTTTTTTTTCGAACCTTTGAAGATCGTTTCACTATTAGCACGCTTTGTCTACCCATCAAGTAGCCGCTCTTACTAAAACAACTGTCTAAAAGGGTGGGGGTGTGGGGCAGTACTCACGGCGCGCGGCCAGCTGGCGGTAGGCGGCGAGGCGCTTGAGCAGGCGCGCGGCGTCGCGCTCGTTGCGGCCGCACAGCGCGTGCCGCACGCGTGCCAGCACCAGCCGCTCGCAGCGCCCTCCCGCCGCCTCCAGGCGCCGCCCCAGGTCCGCCTGCGCACACGCACCGCACTCGCGTCACTCACGGCAAACAGCAAACAAAAAACAGCAAATTCCTTCTGCAGCATCAACGGTTACTTACCTATTAAAATCTCCATAGCGCTTTTAGCACAATGGCGCATAACAACAACAATAATATAACAATAGTAATAAAAACAATAATAATAATAACAACAATAATAATAGTTTGTGTCCGCAGCGACATTTCGCTAATTTTGAAACAAAAACGCTGTCACCTTTGGGTGTTTGCTACGCGACAAAGGTACGTTGAAATATGCTGACGCTATGATGGGCTTAGGGCAGTATCAAGATTCATGCCAGCGACACCAAGCATGGCTTATCAAGCTTTTGATACGAAATGTCATGCAGCGAATCGTGTAGGTGATGGGATGCCGGAGAAGGGAGATGGGAGAACCCTGCCGGGATCCATCTTTTACCATTGCCACATGTTAATTCACGTTAACTGACAAGATTTCAAAATCTGTCGCCAGACAAACGCGAACAACTAGCGCACTCACCGCCACGTTATGCATCGCACCAGTCAGATATACGTGGACGTCAATCGCAATATTATGAAGAAATTTATAGCAGTGCAAAACGCCCAATATTTCTGAAACATCACTTAACGCCTTAGTCCGTCAAAACGGACTTTTCCGATGTAAAATATATACTTGGATTGCAAAACAAACTGATGTAATGAAGTTAAACTGAATATATGAACAAAATGATTTATGAAGGTAATGAGTCTGGCTAAATAAATCTCAACTGTGTTAATTGGAACAATGAAAAATTACTGACGGCAAGAGGTCGTAATAAATTATACGAGAGTATTTTTAGAGGCAGAAAATATTTACAGGATATTGAGTGACATCAATGACGTTGGTGATGTTACATATTACACAAATATAAGAACACACAACCAATTAATATCTCAATAGAAATTGTAAATTATACCAGGTCTTACAAGCTGAAAGGAAGAGAAAATGAAAAAAACAACCAAAAGCAGTGAAAAGATTGAATTAAAATACGATATTCCGGTTAAATCAAGTGGGCTACATATATATTAACTCGATTTCACATCGTTATTTACACCTTTGCCTCGGCAAAACCCCGTGAAAGTAATTTGCGCGTGAAACTTAAAAGCCCTCAAATGCACAAAAGGGGGAAGCCCAATACATAACACGGTGCGCAGCAAAAGGACACGTAAAAAAAGGAGACCAAAAAGAGCGTCGAATCACCGTTTCGCCATCAATAAAAGGCGTAGAGCATTTACATTTAGGTGGGCGATAATCCCACGGTTAGAGATGGCGACGAGGGGCAGCGCAATTCACCACCGAATCTCGCGCAACGGGGACAGCGGCGGAGGAAACGCTCTACTCACCAACGAAGACCACGAAGTGATCTTTAAAAAGGGGAGTACGGCGCCTGCTAAAGCGAGATTCGTCATGAAGATTCGTTCGCGGAGCTGCGTGAACTGCCGCTGCCGTCTCGGTCCGTCCCTCTTCGTCACGGCACCTCGTAAAAACGAGGGAGCCTCGAATCGCAATTCTGCGGGACACAAAGGACGAAAATACGCTCGTCATTTGGTTCATTTCCCCGAAAACGGCCATCAACTTTCAGTGCTGCGGGCGAGGCCATAGAGACGGCTGTGATCGGGTGGAGTGGCAGACTGCCCGCGAGTTTCGTCCTGGGAGGAGTTTTAGCCTTACATCGTACGACTTGAGCCAATTTATAAAGACGACTGAATTGGGTTTCACGTACGAAAGTATTTGAGGGTTCAAGTTAAAACAAAAATTGCAGAGATCTGAGAGAGACCACGGGCGTCACAAAATTTTCCGCAACGTAAATTCATCCTATTGTTCGGACTCAAAGAGGGTTTTAATATAATTTGAAAACATCGAAAAAAAGAAGAAGAAAAAAAAACAACCCAACAACAACAAACTTTCATTAACTTTAATATGCAGAAAATGTTATTAAAATATAACGATGATTTCATCATAAAGACACACCTACACACGCGCGCGAAGAAGACAATAACAGATTCTTATTTCATTTCGAAAAACAAACAAACAACCATTACAAAGACAAAATGCTCTCGATATCATTTTGGGACTTCCTTCCAACAAATGTTTCCAGAACTTTCCTTTTATACACCAAAATCTTTTCAGTGCGTTCTAACACTACAGAAACTGCGATCTCGTTATCTGTCGAAGAGGGGTTCCAACCCAATCCCTGGGCCACGCAGCTCGCACAATAGCCCGGCATCTTACATCGTTGAGTCAGTTTCAATGTCTTGGAGGCCACCGCCACCGTGAGGAGGGGAAGGTGGTGGGTGGGAGGAGGGAAGGAGCGGCGGTGTTTGCTCGGAGCAATCCACCTGGACGGCCGCCGTCGAAAGAGAGAGATTCCGCGCAGCCCCTCGCTTCCCCACCTGGCGAGCCCTGGCGGCGAGGTGCGGTGCGGTGCGGTGCGGGAGATTGGATCCGGGAGTCTTTGCAAATACACGCAGAGCATCCCTCGCCCGACTCGGGCCTGCCGCCCGCGTTCAGAAGCGGCTCCCGGGTAGAACGCGAGCGCCCTCCCCGGCCAGCGGCCCTTCCCAAAGGCCGGGCCGTGGATCGGGGGAGGGGGGAGGGGGCCAGCGGGGCTTATAGGGGCGAGGGAAATGAGCGTCCCCTCGACGGATGGCCGAGCCGGGGGAGATCCCTTTTACGGAAAGTGCGGGATGAGCGCCCGCCTGACGTCAGAGAGTGAGAGAGAGAGAAAGACAGAGGGGGAGGGGGACGGGAGTCTTATCCGCCAACCTCCATTAGCGTCAAGGTCTAAGCATTGCTGAGGTGTCTGCAAACCGCAAGTTGTTTCGTTGCTGTGCTACTGAGCCGCCTGTTGCATTACTTTGTCTTTGTTCGGAGATGCACTGCAAATTAGTCGCACCGCTTCGTAAACGCTGACGCTGGTTGGGCCAATTTCGCGAACGCTCCACTTCGTTCTCGCACCGACGAAGTCAGCCAGGCGGAAACGTTGGAAAAATCCATCTCGTGAATACACTTCGGCTAAAAGAGAATACGTAAAAAACAGCAATCAGTATCACTAAATCCTTCCAGAAAAAAGATAGAACCGGCAAGCCACATTTTAAAAATAACAGCCGTGTGATTATCAAAGCCAAGATACTCGTTTACAACCAGCCACAGATTTGCAGGAAACGGAGAGAAATCCGAGTCATAGCGTACTGAGGTAGCACATACTACTACTACTACTACTACTACTATGTATGCATCCTCTGGCGGCAGCACGCGGCGCGGTCTTGTGGGAATTTTCGCCCGCAAAGCTAATCGTGTTCGGAGAACGGAGAGCAGCGGTAAAGCAATTGCGCCCTTCGCGTTTCGACACCGCCTGAGCGCCACGCGATACGCCCCCCCCCCTCCCCAAGCGGGGTTCGACGCTCGGCGCAGAGGGAGGTCGCGGAGCGCCCTGGTGCTTCGGCGGCCCCAGCGCTGCCGCAATCAAGCTGCTCACGAAACGCCGCTGCCGCGCCCGCCCGCGCAGTCGCCGCCGCTTTCCGCCGAGACGCCCGCCTGCCGATGCTGCTTATACGGAGCGTCCAAGGCCGCCGGTTCCGGGAGGGGCGCGGGACGCGACGCGGCGACCCACCAAGAACTTTCGCGTCGCTCCGCCCGCCCACGCGCCAAGCCGGGGCTAATTGTAAGCAGGTTTGCGAAAGAGGGCTTCCGGAAGAGGAAGTCTGCATCAGGAGAGAGGTGGCCGCGGTAAACAGGGGTCTCGGTACGCGACGAAAGTGACAAAGGAAACGAAGAGGTTGGACACGTAATGAATCAGCAGAGGCCAAATACAGAAAAAGAACAAGAAAAACAGGTAAGACTTATGAGTGATATAGTGATGATGGAGGGTAGAGAGGTTGACAAATTACGAATAAAGGTAGAGTGAAAAGGAAGGATTAAACGAGAAGCGATGAAAAAGATACGCGGATGCTGCTTAAACTGAGAAGAGTCCACAT